AATGATGAGCAAGAATATTAAGGATAGGTGGGGGTAGATCAATTCAAGCAAATAAAATACATCAATTAAGACATGTTAATGGCAAAATGAGAGCTTTTGTGGATAAATGCTGGCAGTTTAGTGGAGGTAAAGGAAGGGCAATAATGAAAAAAGCAAAAAATCTGAAAAATGAAGGATTATATGAAACACTTAAAGGGTCTTGGAAATAATTCTAAAGAAGGAGGGGCTACAGTAGAAGTGATTGTTCTGTGCTATTTCCCTTCAATGTGAAAATGATATTGCTTGTAATAGATTATTAGAAAGCATACTAAATATTCAGAAACTACATAAATCTATAATTTCAGGTTTGAGGTGATGTTACGGGTTTTTGAGTAAGAATAAAGAGTACTTCATTAAACTGACAGTGTAAAAAATGTTATCTTGCACTCCTTAGAGTGCAAAATTGGAGGAAATGGCCAGGTTGAAGATGAAACATCTTGAACTTTAATAGTGCCATAGGGAATGGAAAAAAAGAAAAGAAAATGGGAGAGATTGATTAAAAAACACACGTTGGACTCATAGGTACAGAAAACAGACTGACAGCTGTCAGCGGGGAGAGGTGATTGGGAGGCTGGGTAGAAAAGGTGAATGGATTAAGCAAAATAAGTAAGTAAATAAATCCCTCATAGACACAGACAACAGTGTGATGATTACCAGTGGGAAAGACGGGTGGGGCAGATAAAAGAGGGTAAAGGGTAAAGGGGGGAATGAATGGTGACAAGAGATTTGACATTGGGTGGTGAGCACACAATACAATATACAGATGATGTATTCTAAAATTGTACGCTTGGGGCCTATATAATTTTATCGACAAATTTTATGGATGAATAATTTTATTAATGAATGTCACCACAATAAATTCAATAAAAACTATACATGTTGATTAGAAGTTAATTATACTTCATTATTAAAATATTAACTTTAAATAAAATACAGAGAATAATTATAAAAAATATGCCAGATCTAATAATCAACTGTTCGCATATTATCTTGTTAAATTATTACAACATCCCTGTGAGGAATACGATTATATTCTGGTGATTGTAGAAAGTGAATTTAGATTTATATAGATTAAACAACATGCCAAAGTCAACAGTTAATAAATAATAGTCAAGTTTCAAATCCAATCTGTCTGGCTCCACATTCCCTTCTAAATCAACACTATACTGTTTGTCAAAAGTAGGTAAATGATTATGAGATTACTAGATGATAAATAAAAGCATGGTAAATGTAATGATAATAAAGCTTGGTGTAGAGTCTTGAAGTTCAAAGATTATCACTCAAAATAAACAATATGAAATTTGATAAAGACGTGAGACAAAATTTTAAATTATTTTAATGAAATGTTAATAATGGTTAACACTATTGAGTACTGCTACATAAGTTAGGCATTATTTTAAACTCTCTAATCTTCATGTACTCCTTGCAATAAACACATTAAGTTCTGATATATTCCTTTTACAGATGACAAAAAGTACAAAGAATTTAGTTAAGTAGTTCAAACAGAAAGAAGGTGGCAGGGTCCAGATTGAGGCCTGGGACATAGGTACACTAGATTCTGTTACTTCCAGAAGTTTTGGCAATGTTATTCTTAAGAGTAAATGCAGAAATTATTTTCTCCCTTTTAGATGTTGAAGGAACCAGGAATATAGTGAATTGGGAGTAAATCCACTTTCTAATGCTCCTGCAGAAGGAAAACCACATTATTTTATCATCTCAAAAATTATCAGTGGACTTTGTCCATGAATGTGAGGATCAGGTTGATTATATACTGAATATATATTATATAGCTTAATGTATTTTATAATTACCTGCAGGTGACATGGACAAAATTGAAAATTTATTTTTTAATACACAACAGGAGAAATAAAAGGGGGAACAAATGGACATGTTGGAGTGATGTTAGATTCACATAGGACTTTAATAACTTCTACATTTATACAGGGGAATTCTATTTCATCTAATTTAAAGGAAATATAATTATTGATATGCACCAAAATATATATTATATAGAAAATATAAGAAACCACTGAGCTTAAGATTCAAAACTTTCCAAAATTAAATATACATATAACATAAGTATTATCACACTTTAGATGTCCAATTCTTTAAATTCTAACCCTTTTATGAAAATAGTTTTTAAAAAATTTTATTTATTTACTTGTAGAGAGAGGGGAAGGGAGGGAGAAAGAGAGGGAGAGAAACATCAATGTGTGGTTGCCTCTCATTTGCCTCCAACTGGGGACCTGACCCACAACCCAGACGTGTGCCCTGACTGGGAATCAAACTGACGAACTCTCACTTCACAGGACGGTGCTCAATCCACCGAACCATCCCAGCCAGGGCTGTGGAAATAATTTTAGATTAATAATGACCTGGGAATTATGTTTATGATAGAATTTTTTTAACTTCCATGAGTTAGTTGCATTAGATATTTCCATAGCAACTCCATGGTAACAACATATATGGACAGTCACTGCGTGAGATTTAGTAAAGAAAATCCCTCTGAGAAAGTATAATACTTAAAAGCCATGTGTCCCTTATATGTTCTAATATTACCAACTTTCTCTCAACAAGAGAGAGTGCTGTCTGCACTGTACTGCCTCTACTGCTCCCGCGTCCCTTAGGTCTCCGCAGGGCTGGAAGTTCTCTCACTGGCAAGATCTTGTAATCAGAAGCTCCATTTGCTGGTGATAAACCTATCTTAGCATATCTCATATTTCTTAACCCCTGTTAATCTTGATCCTTAATTTATTACCAATTTTTCGTTCTTGGACCTTGTGCTAATTTGCAGCCCAGCACTGCCATTCTGGCTTTACTTGTCCCTACACAACAAGGAAAATAATGGCCAGCTCTTTGCGGGCCACCATTTTTGGCTACTTTAGAACACTGCATCCTTATGACTTCCTGCCATTCCTGCCTACCACAACCTCCGTTTTGAATCTCAAACTTAATTCTGCCTTTGTCCCTCGATAGGTAGAAGGCTGCAGAGCCACATAATTGGAGCCAGTCTATTGGTGACTATGTAGTGAATGTCTAAATCAGAGACACTTTCCATTTTTGAAAGTGAAAAAGGATATTCTAAGACTGTATAAACAGCTCTGTCTCAGAGAAACCAGAGTGTGTCATCATCCCAACAAAAGGAAACCATTTTCTCGTCAGAATCAGCCTTTAGTGATGCTTACATTTCTCACGTGTATGTTTTTTTATTTTTATTCAGTTCCCTATTAGGCATTTCCAGTTTCATCTTTAAGTCGGAGCCTTGAGAAATATTTCCTTCTTCCTGTCCCCAGTTCAACTCAACCAAAATCTATTATTACCTCCTCGTTTGATGAGAAGATTGAGACTTCATCACCTAAAAGTTTCTCTATTTAAATAGTCATTTCTTTGTCTAATTTAGAAGTCTTTTAATTCTTCGTGAAAATTGTTTTCATACCACTTGACTGGCTTTCTTTTGAGAAGGTTCAGGACTGGGGCCAGTATGGTTGCTTAGCTGAGCTCTTATTCTGCTGATCACAGCTTCCCAGCACGCAGAAAATACTTCTTTCCAACCCACAGACCAAGTGATTATCTAAAAGTTTCTCCTTGGTTTTATATAGATCCATCCACATGGTGTTTGTGCACGCATCATGACAGATTCAAACATACCTTAAGGAATTGTTATACCCCCAGCCTGCGTTTTTCAGATGTGATGGTTTATGAATAAATATCTGACTTTTTCAGTGATACCTCAAAGTTAGAAAGTCCAAAAGTGAATTTATTTCTGTTATTGAGTCTACACATTTCAGGATCCCAGGGTAAAAAAACCATTGTATTTCCTTATTTAGTCATAGAGTTGAACTCTCAGGTTCATTGCAAATGCTCCCTTGTTCAGCCTCTCCAGGTGAAGTTGGTCACCAGGTCCTATAGGCCGTGTTCCCACTGCACTACTCACACGTCCTGCCAAGTTCTGCATTATTAACTGATGCTCTGTCACTTAGCCTCACAGAGTATTTCTACCACATTAATCTTCAAGCTGAAACACTGATAATTTGAGCTATTCAAGAACTTTCTGTGTTTCTTATCCTGGAGGCTGAAGTGAATACAGACTTCTTGGCTTTGCATTTGAGGTTCTCCTTTCTCTGACCCCAAAAGATAACCCCAGTTGTATTCTTTCACCATCTTTCATACACTTTCCAGACTGGATGGCTTTGTTATTTCTTATATGTTACTAGACGTTCATTGCTCCTCCCTCTATGGACATCTCCTGGTGAAATTCCATATTCTTAACGTCTTTATCATTGTCAGTCTCTTCCATGAGATACGCATACCCTGTTGCCTGATTTGAAATCCCTTTTTAAAAATTCCTATTATCATTCCATTCTTACTTTTTTAATTTATTTTACTGTCTCATAAACATTATCTGTGTACTTGTTTTAACCTCCTCATAAAGTATTACTTTCTAAAGGAGAGGACATATGCATTACTCACTGTCTGAATACTCAAACACCATGCTTACTTATACTAATCAATAATTAATTTCTTATTGAAATTACACAAATGTGACTGTGTGAATATTGTAGAAACATGCTTATATGTGTAATTTAAAAATATTATTAGAGCTCTGCACATAAAGCTGTTCTCAATAGTCAGGTAGCAAGTATCATTATACCTAATAAATAGTTAAATTGGCTGATGCATGAAGAAATTACAGGTATTATTCACAATAAATCCTAGCCTTTGACAGAGCTGGGAGAAGATACCAAGTCCTTTATATTACTCTGATCCTGTTCATTTTAAACAGAGCCCTCTATATGCATGCAAATTGCTGCAATCATTCATTAAGTAGATTCAATCTCTCATTTTCCTTAAATCATCACTGACTTGAGCTTACTGTTTTCTCAATTTAGGCCTAAGAAAATTATGGCCAGTTATTCATTCTCTAATGAACCTAAAAGTGAACTATATTTCATTGCTTGTAGGATGGTATGGGAAATCTGAGAGTCACCAAGAAGGGAATCCGACTTGAAGGTATATCTGAGTTTCTACTTCCATTGTATGTGAAAGAAATTCATTCCCGAAAGGTATGTGATACTGGCTTTGGCTTAACTGTAAAAGATAATTTAGAAGTTATGTTTTAGCTTGAAATAGGAGGATAGAACCCCCTTATCTCTTCAGTATGTACTTAAGTTACCTTAAGCTAAATTACTTAAAGAAATCAAAACAATAAGACAACAGAAAAACTAGTGAAAGTCAGTTTTAAACTAACAAACTGGAGAACCATTTTTGAATTAAACTGCAGTGTTGTATTTGTTAGTCTATAAAATGTGCCCCTCTATTTTCAATGGAAGTTAAAAATACACACTTAACAGTAATTCCAAAAGGGGCATTTGGTATATCATGAGTAATTTTTTGCTGAAAGCATTGACTTGAATAAATGATTTTAGTTTAATATATTATAAATCTTTTTAGTTTTAATGGACATGCATTTTCTAAGACATTACTATGAGTTTCAGTATAGAAATTAAATTTATTTCTGAATGTACATTATTTAAACCAAGTAAGAATATTATCCTTTCAACTGTGTGTGTGTGCTGTGTGTGTTTTATCACTTGCCAGCATGTAAAAATTCAAAAGATTATAACTTAGACAATGTTCATTTTGGCTTAAGTGTGCTACCTCTCAGAAGGTAATAAGTGTTCTTGGGGGCACCAAAATCTAACTAGAATGTTTCAAATCAAGTAGGCATTCCCCTGGGATATGCGTAGAGATGTGGAAATAAATGTATTAGGACAGAAAAAATAGAAAGCATGTTATGCAAAATGTGGGAAGATTGCTAACCTTATTTTATAGATACAAAAGTCCTTTTTAAACTGGAATTACGTTTCAGTATCATCGATACAATAATATCTTAGCAAATGAGTTACATAATAAGACATAAATTGATGATTTGCTTCAAAGCTATTTTTGCTTAAATATCAAAGTGAAAACAGAACAGAGGATTCTTTGATATAAAATTTTAGTTAGGATAATTATATTAACTTTAAATTTATTTTGCTATATATGAATGTGCACCATTTTACTAATATACTATACTGACCGCTCCTCTTGGTACTAGACATTTTGTACTGAGATTACTTTACTTTCTGGATTTTGGTCAGACAGATAACACAATTGCATGTGTATGAGACTTAACCTTACATAATTAACTATAAAAATAATTAAACTCAAAATTTTAAAGGTGTTTTTTGTTTTATTTTTATAAAAATTGAGAAATAGCCTGCCAACACATGTCAGTGTCTTCCCCCGATTGAAACTCACCACCACTTACAGTTCTTTACTGATTTCTTGTTGTGTCAGACCGTTTAAACATTTAATATTTGAAGAAATGCAAACTTGTACATGGAAATCAAGACATTACTTAACATGGCAAGAAGGGGAGAGTAATCACAGGCAGGAACTTCTTTGAAAATGCATCCATTTTAGACCAAACTTTAGTGTCTGCCTGGGAAGACAGCGTAGGGAGAGATGGAATTTACCTTCTCAGCCAGGATAATTTTGAGAGCACAACTACGAGTGTGAACTAGGGTTCTCCTGGGAAAATTAGATGAGTGTTTACTCCATCTGTTGACTTGATATGAAAGAATCCACTGGTCTCATAACATTAAAGTGTGAGGTGGTGGCAGTCGGGCTTACTAATATTTGTCCCGGGAAAGTCTGCAGCCTCAGTTCACCAGCATCTCTAAAACCCACTGCACTGACTGAAATCTCTTTGCAGCGCTTCCCCATCTCCAGTCCTGCTGCCTGTCCTCCCAGCAGGCCCTCCCATCACGCGTGCTTCCAGGTGCCCCTGCGGCCGCAGGCTCGGCACAGGCAGGAGGGCGTTCCCTTTGAAGCGTGCGGGAGGTGTGGCTTGAGGGTAGAAAAGGAAGGAGACCCACTTACTTCTTGAAAGCTTGTCTGCACACACATTACAAAAATTAATAGTTAGAAGGAAGAGAAAAATGCATGTCTCATAAGCAGTTCCCACATTAGGATCTCTTGTTCATGAATGTGTGCAATCATGTGTTCTCTGCCCTAAAGCCTCTTCACTATTCAAAAAGTCAGCCCCAATTTCCCTGAGCCTTAGTTTTCTTATTAACAAAGTCAGTTTGGTAGAAAAGCATCAATTTACTGAATTCTTAGGTTAAGAAAGAATACAACAAAATTGAACAATACTAGCAGACACGAGATCTAGATTTTAAAAATACTGTTGTACATGTCAGTCTTTTCACACATTTTTACATGTTCAAATATTTTATGGGAAAACATCAAAGTTTCTATAGGTCTAAGGTAAGCAAATTTATTAAATTCTAAAGGTACTTAGAAAGATTCAATTAAACTAAAAACACTACTATGTACAGCAATTTTGATGTGTACAGACGTTTTTCCCAGCAGTTTTGAGGTGTGTGCATGTCTGTGCATGGATTTGTACATTTTCTTGCACTAATTCTGTCAGGTTGCCTTCTTTATGTGTAGCCAGTATTCCAACCTGTAATAGTTTTTTTTTCTTATTTAAATTTTCCTTCTGGTTATGAAAGAATTTAATCCTACACATGGAAATGTAATAGAGAGATTTCTATTTGTCAGAAAATGAAGTTGCCCACAGATACATACTTCTAGTCTCTTAGTCTAATAAGCCAGGGTCTGTTTCTATGGTCTACAAGCTAACTGGCCCTTCTGCCACCACTAAACTTCTGTAGATATTTGAAGTTCTATTATCATCTATCAGAGTTTACTCTCTTCTTCATCTTTAAAAAAATCTAATTTTTCTAAGTGATCCATCATATCTGTACATGGAAAATCCTTGGATGTGTTTGAAATATCTTAGAATTCAATTCATCTTACAAAATGAACACATTGTTTTCAGGGAGTAAGCATTCAGTAAACACTTGTGAAATTAAATATACAGTATTCTTCCTCGTTGAAGAGGAAGAGTATTCTTCAACGAGGAAGAATACTGCAGGAAATGGAATTTGGGGCTACCTTAAATAAATGGTAACATTCTGGATCCATCTTTGCTACGCATGGTCCAACATTAGGTCAGTATTTTTGAAATAGCAGGAAATTAGGACATGTTGATCCCCAGGATTTTTTGTTTTCAATGTAACATGAATATGTTTCCCAAGCTTTCATGAGTCCAGAGTACTAGGGAGGTTAAAGTAGCCACCTTTCACTGATTCTTACCAGAAATTTTGCATCATAAGGTCTACTAGGGCTTCTATAAGCATTACTTAACTTCATCTGATATTAAACAGCATTGTTGTTTAATTTTTACTGTTCAAGAATCCTTAGTTACGGCAGTAACTCACCACTGCCCTCAGATCCCAGCATCCTGCATGACAGATTGATAACTGTGCCTGGGAATTACTAACAGATAATTCCAATTTCGATAACACCCCAGCAAACCTAAGACGTTAGTCTTCTTTATGATTCCTGCATTAGCAGAGCTGAGGAAGGCTCTGCTCTCCCCTTCACGCCCAGTCCCTTTGCCCAGCATCAGAGCTGTGATGGTACAGTTTTTGGTCACAACCAGTTTATTACTGTGTGTAATCAATACTCTTCTATAGAGTTCAGGCACAAAGCCATGGGGTCAGGCAAGCTCAGCAAGCCTCCTTCCTGATTACACAACATGCTAATCTCCTGACTCTGTCTTTTTCAGGTACATTTCTCCCATATAAATCTTGTAGGTTTACTCCTCCCACACAAACAAATTCATATCAAGAGGGATCTGCAGGCTTCTATAATCATTTCATCATTATCATTATTGTATCGCATTTAGATGTTTAATATGAGTGACATTGACTATTGTGATGTCTTTATTCAAATAAAAAAACCCTACAAATCATCTCAAAATCTTTACACTCAGAAAAAAAAACTGTTAACACACATTGACTATCATCCCAGCTACATGTTTATACATCTGCACAAAAAGATAAGCATGTAGAGAATCATATGCATGCTATTTATACTAACGTACTAATTTAGTAGAAGAAATATAATCTGAAATAAATTAGAAAGAATTGCTGAACTTAAATAACTTTGCTTCACAACAAGAATTTTTTTTAAGGCTGTCTTTATGTTCAGAATAACAGTTTATGAATACCATTAAGAAGCTGGATGTCTTAGCTCCACGTGTCAGTTTCAGACAGTGTTCATTAACGCCCTGCCGTGCAATTTGAGGTGATTAGCTCCACTCCAATTTGTCCTCACCCTTCTTCATTTTCAGTTTTTCGGACAATTATATTATTTTAACTTTGACAAAGTTCATGGTAATTGCGTTCTGTTCTGCAACATTAATTGCCTTCACACTTTGATCTTAATTCCATATATAGGTGGCTGCAGTATTCATCACCAGTATTATAGTAAGGCTTCTATCTACGACTGAGTTGATTACTCAGATGATTTCTCCTTACTTGTATTTCACTGTTAATTAGTTTTTTTGTTTGTTTGTTTGCTTGCTTGCTTGTTAACTGTTGAAGTACTTCATGCTAAATATGTCTGCTTTCTTTATATTTTTCTGGGAATATTATGAATGGTTCATCCCTTCTTTTCTTGTTAACTCACTATTCTATTAATTCTAGCACTAAATAGTGCCATAAAAGTGTCTGAAGGCAGCCTGGTACTTTTCTCTTGTTGATGACAAGAATGTTCTGTTCGGATGTCTGATACATTTTTGCCCTTTCACTTGTTCACTTCAGGGAAAATTTATCCATTGTATCACTCAATATCTTTCAGTTTCATTTGTTGAGTCTTTACCTCTGAGAAAGCAGTAATTCTTATGTTGGATCATCTTCGTCCTCCCCAACTACCATAATTTATCCAATTATTTTAAACTCTATATTTTTTATCTGAATACAAGTAACTGTCATTTCTAGGATTCCCTTTTGAGTCTCAGAATTTTCCTTAGGTCCGTAGTCTCCTTTTAAATCTTGTTGTTTTACTGTCTTTGAGCTTCAGTTTTATTAAATTTAATTTTTAATTATAAAACTGAAAACACTTGCCTTACCTAGTTTGAAATATCCCTGATGCATCACAGTTTAAG